GAACAGAATTTGTAGCTATTGTCTCTCAAACAATACACTGTTTGTTGCAAGATAAAACATGCCATGTCTCTTTCTATTTGCTGTCTCTATAAGTGATTTTGTACTATCCTGATGGCAGCCAATTACTACCAAACACATAACGTAGGTCTATATTTTGAATACTGTGGGAATAATTGGGGGTCTTGGGGATGGAAATGGTTTTAGGGAATGTATATATGTAGGCCCCCAGATATCTGCCCCTAAACATGAGTGAGTATGGCATACATAATGCTCCTTGTTACTCATAAAAAATGTAAATGGTACACAAAAACACACAATTTTAACCACTTGCCACCTGGTCACAGTAGATTTCTTGTGACCAGGCAGCAGCTGCAGGCTCAGCAGCGTAAATAAATATTGCATGCTTGCTGCAGGGTTTTGGACATGCATGACTGGACACCTGAACCGCTGATCGGCTGTATCCAGTCACAGCACAAAATTCCATGTTTACAAACACACAGGGCTCTGTACACAGCAGTGATCTGGCTGTTTCTTCTCCCTGCAAAGCAGGGAGAAAAAACAGCTGGGTCTCTTAATAAAGACAGCACATATTACACTTGTTAGGCACACAGTTGACCCTTTGATTTCCCTTTGATGTTAACCCCCTCCCAGCCAGTGTTATTAGTACAGTGACAGTGTACAGTATTATATCTGATAGCTGTATTTGTGTCACTATTGAGGTCAGTCAGTTAGTGTACCTCCCAGCGAGGGTCTGTTAGCACCAGATTGCTCTTCACACTACCACAGTTCCACTATAAATTGCTGTTTGCCGCCATTTACTAGTATAGTTAGCACCATAGCTGCATAAATTTCCATATACTGTATATACCATAGTTTATAGACTCTATAACTTTTACACAAACCAATTAATATACACTTATTGGTTTTTTTTAACCAAAGACTTGTAGCAGATTACATTTTGGCCTAAATTTATGAAGAAATTAGATTTTTGGATTATTTTGGATATGTTTTACAACAGAAAGAAAAAAAAAATTTCAAAATTTTATACAATAAAAAATAAAAGATTGTGGTGGTCAAATACCACCAAAGAAAGCTATATTTATATGAAAAAATTATATAAGTTTCATTAGGTTACAGGGTTAAAGTGTTGCATGACCACGCAATTGCCAGTTAAAGTAGCGCAGTGCTGAATATTAAAATATGCCTTCATCATGAAGAACACCCCCAATGTCCTACAAAGTAATTCCAATGTCAATTATGTCCAGTGCCTCTTTGGTTGATGGTCTATGCAGTTTTGGTAGTTACCAGCTATTGGTTTGGTTGATCTTATACGTGTGGATAACTTTGTTGCAGCGCGTTTTGGACAGTCATGTGTATATGAGCAGTATGTAAATGGATCTAGGATAGGAGTTGTATGGGAACTGCCTGGAGTGTTATGTACCTAATTACAAGCTGATCCCTGCTCTCCCTCATTTAGAGCCAGATCAGAGTTTGATCCTGCTCTTTGCTTAATATCTCCCATTCGGTTTAGTTTTGGTAATGTGATCCTCTTTTCCCCCACAAGGAAGGATGTATACTGTTTCAATCTTTTCATGCTAGGTGATCTGATATGGCTAAGGCTACTTTCACACTGATCCGCCGCAAAAACACAGCAAAAATGCATAGGCATTTTTACCGCACTTTTGCAGCGCTTTCTGAGCATACTTTAAAGGACATGTGACTTAAAAACTGCACCAAAAACGCTTCTCAGAGGCTTTTTTAGGCGCTTTTTAGGAATTTTCCATATATTTTAATAGGAAAAGGCATTTTGGGGCATTTTTTTAACTCACCAAACATGCCCCAAAGATGGTGCAAGCAATTTTTACACCACACAGCAAGCACAACTGCTCAGTGTGAAAACATACATAGATATATGGTTGCAAGAAAAAGTATGTGAACCCCTTGGGATTACATGGAGTTTTGCATGAACTGGGCATAAAATGTGCTCTGAACGTCATCCAAGTCACAACAATAGAAGAACACAGTCTGCTGAACATAATACTACACAAACATTAGATGTTGCCATGGTTTAATTGCACATAACATGTAAACATTCACAGTGCAGGGAGGAAAAAGTATGTGAACCTTTGGACTTAATAACTGGTTGACCCTCCTTTGGCAGCAATAACCTCAACCAAACATTTCCTGTAGTTGCAGATCAGACCTGCACAACGATCTGGAGTAATTTTGGACCACTCCTCTTCACAAAACTGTTTCAGTGTAGCAATATTCTTGGGATGTCTGGTGTGAATCGCTCTCTTAAGGTCACACCACAGCATTTCAATCGGGTTGAGGTCAGGACTCTGACTGGGCCACTCCAGAAGGCATATTCTGTGCTGTTGCAGCCATTTTTTTTGTTGAATTACTTGTAGGCTTTGGGTCATTGTCCTGTTGCATCACCCATCCTCTGCGGAGCTTCAGTTGGCGGACAGATGGTCATACGTTTTCCTGCAAAATGTCTTGATAAACTCTGGAATTCATTTTCCCATCAATGACAACAATCCGTCCAGGCCCTGAGACAGCAAAGCAGTCCCAAACCATGATGCTCCCTCCGCCATGTTTTACAGTGGGGATGAGGTTTTGATGTTGGTGTGCTGTGCCTTTTTTTCTCCACACATAGTGTTGTGTGTTCTTCCCAAACAACTCAATCTTGGTTTCATCTGTCCACAGTATATTTTGCCAGTAGTGCTGTGGAACATCCAGGTGCTCTTTTGCAAACTTCACACGTGCTGCAATATTCTTTGGACAGCAATGGCTTCCTCCGTGGTGTCCTCCCATGTACTCCATTCTTGTTTAATGTTTTCCTTATTATAGATGTGTCAACAAAAATGTTAGCATGTGCCAGAGATTTCTGTAGGTCTTTAGCTGACACTCTGGGATTCTTCTTCACCTCATGCAGCATTCTGCGCTGTGCTCTTGCAGTCATTTTTACAGGACGACCACGCCTAGGGAGAGTAGCAACAGTGCTAAACTTTCTCCATTTGTAGACAGTCTGTCTTACCGTGGACACATGAACTAGCTCTGGGAGAAGTCATTAAGCTAGGGCCTCACATACTTTTTCCTCCCTGCACTGTGAATGTTTACATGTTATGTGCAATTAAACCATGGCAACATCTAATGTTTGTGTAGTATTATGTTCAGCAGACTGTGTTCTTCTATTGTTGTGACTTAGATGACGTTCAGAGCACATTTTATGCCCAATTCATGCAAAACTCCACGTAATCCCAAGGGGTTCACTTTTTCTTGCAACTGTACATTCACATACATAGGGAAACATTTTTCTTGAGCTTTTCAGGCACTTTTTTTAATGCAAAGGTGCTTCAAAAACTCCTCACTGTGAAATTAGCTTTAGTGTTGCATCTCAAGCATGGATTCTGAGGAGTTGCATCTCAAGCATGGATTCTGAGGAAGCAAATGCAGCTTGATGTTTGTTCATTACAAACAAAAAAAGACTGTATGATAGTGCTAGACCATGATATTCATTGTTTTCATGTAAAATGTCTATTTTACCTAGATGGATAAATATTATATTTTATTATAGCTTTGTATTGTATATTTATTCCTATGTGCGGTACATAAAAAGTCCCTTTTTTTTAGCAAGATAGTTCCACATTTATACTTAGCTGTGGTTACTTATGCTTGCTCTTTTGTTCCTGCTTTCCATGACCATATTTTTTTATTTTTTAATCCAAACAACTTTTATTGTCAAGATAGAGAAAATGGAACAGTACTTACAGAATCCACAATGCCTTTACTGCAACAGCAGGATTACACATAAATAGAACAATTCCATAACCATATTTAGTGAATGATGTTGCCAAGGATGCCCACTGCCTTGTTAAAAATTTGAAACTAGCCAATGGGTGGATGGAAGTTGTTTAATAATATTACCACTGAATTAAAGACTTCCAGGTGCAGCAGCCAGAGGTTCACTCAGGCAGGTAAACTGGCCATTTCTGGGCATTTAGTTTGCCCTTTTAGCAAGCCGCAAGTAGTTTAGCTTTGGGTCGAGCTCATGGTCGATCTGAACCTAAAGCTCACCCCTAGTCACAAGAGAAATTTGATTTGATGTCATATTGAAAATACCTTTTAGCTTTTTAAAGGTTCCTAGCTCTGTCTTATATTATTTGCTAAAAAATATATAGGTATTTTGGCGCTGGAGAGGTATAGCCAAAGTAACTTAAAAGTCCAATAACAATCCAGTAAAAAGTTCAATAGCAACTCCGTAAATAAAGCCCAACTTATAGCCAGGGAGACTAATTAAAGGGAGAGGGATTGTTGGATAAGCTGTGGTTATTCACGGGGGGCTATGGGCAATAAATAGTAGCATCAGCGGCAGCACCCTTAGAGTAAAGCTGATCTCTGTAAACAGGGAAAGAGAAAATAGGGGCGCCAATCTAAGTGCAGAATTATAAGTAATTTATTGCAAGGTTAAAATTATTAGCAACTCACTAGACCAGCCTTTCTCAACCAGGGTGTCCAGGCACCCTGGGGTGCCTTGAGCTTTCTTCAGGGGTGCCTTGGACAAAATGCCTAAAAATTTCCCAAAATTTGTATACAAGACAGAAGGTGGATCAAGCCTGCCTTTTAGTTACACAAAGCCACAGGTTTTCATTGTGCACCATTACAACCTTCTAGCCACCAGTGTCCTGACAATCAGTGACATCATTTGATAAGGAGGATGTCAGCTGCCTGCACAGCAACCTAGTTTGACCCTCCCCTGCCCCTCTCTATCAGTGCTGGGGTCACATTAGCTCAGTGATGGAGAAAAACGGAGGCAGAAGAGAAACATTGGCATACTACTTAGTGTTCAACAGTGTATTTGCTCTGGAAGTATAAATCACCTCTAATGCTGGGTGTCCTACGTGTGTGGATGTTGCTGCGTTATATAAAACTATTAGAATAGTTTTTCACATTTTAGAAATGGGGTGCCCTTTTAAAATTAGACAGTCTGGAGGCACCCCATTTTAGAATGGGGTGCCTACAGACTGTCCATAATTTTAAAGGGTGCCTCAGGACTGTCCATAATTTTAAAGGGTGTCTCAGGACTGTCCATAATTTTAAAGGGTGCCTCAGGACTGTCCATAATTTTAAAGGGTGCCTCAGGACTGTCCATAATTTTAAAGGGTGCCTCAGGACTGTCCATAATTTTAAAGGGTGCCTCAGGACTGTCCATAATTTTAAAGGGTGTCTCAGGACTGTCCATAATTTTAAAGGGTGTCTCAGGACTGTCCATAATTTTAAAGGGTGTCTCAGGACTGTCCATAATTTTAAAGGGTGTCTCAGGACTGTCCATAATTTTAAAGGGTGCCTTGACTGAAAAAAGGTTGAGAAACACTGCGCTAGACATAAGTTCGTAAAAGGCTTGTCACCGTACGAGGGTGAGTTGCTAATTATTTTAACCTTGCAATAAATTACTTATAATGCTGCACTTAGAATGGCACCCCTATTTTCTCATATTATTTACTGTATATTGCAACATATCCTTCTACATCTGATGCAACACAATTAAAAAAGAAGGGTACTTTGGAATTACGAGAAAAGCAGATTATGTATTTTTCTCTCTACAGAGAATTTGAAACAAAATAACCAGATTTTGAAAATATGTTCAGAGATATCCAAAGCAGTCATAAGTAAAGTGTGGATACAGTTTTGCACTGCAATAAGAAAAAAACAAAGAGAAAAAAGCCAGACTATTAAAAGTATGTCTGGCCCAGCAGGGGTCGCCAGACTCAAACAGAGTTTGCCCTACATTTTCTTCAAGCTTCACAACATAAAAGCTTTGGTTCTGTTTTTTTTTTTTTTTTTTTTTTAATTAAGAGAAGTCTTACAATTTTCACTTTCCTTCAATCTGCTCATCTCTCGAACACCGAACCTTGAAATGGGTGCTATGACTGATTTGATTGTCTCTTGATTATCTTTGAAAAAAACATGGCTGAGACTGGAAAACAGGAAATAAAACTTTGTTTCTTTTTTTTTTTAAACAGCAAACTTGAAACAGATGGCTATAGCATTGCATAAGGTAAACTTCAAGAGGTTTTTTGAACACAGTTTGTGCAGGTTTGCTGGAAATGTTCCAAAAACAGCTTTTAAGCAACCAACAGAAAAAAAAAAAACAGCCCCATGAGGAAAAACACAATTTGTAGCGCATATGTTATGCAGTGGTCAGTGTTATTAGGACAGACGGTAAATGTGTTCAATAATATATCAAACGACTGCATTAAGGAGTGAACAAGTACATTTTAACAATCTCAATGCTTATACCTTGCTTAAGTGTTTAATTTACACTTGGGATTACAATGGCAATGATTTTGTATTCAGTCTTTATTTTGGTTTATAAAGAAACTATATAAGCACCGCCCAGATCATCTTTTAGCTACAGATCTAGAATAGTTGCCCACATTTCCCAAAAATGTTTCAGGACACTTGAGTGGAGTAACATTTTAATTCGGGGGTGGGGGTATTCAATTGTGGGTGTGGCCCAACAGCAACAGAAAGAATGTGCCGCTGCGCGCTATGGCGAAAAATGAGCGTAGTTACACTTACGCTACATAATGGGCATGGCTTAAAGGGGTGTGGTTAAATAGAGTCTGAGATGACTTACATAGTAGAGAACGTCATAATGGTAAAAATATACTGTAGAAAGGGGAGTGTACAGAGGTCAGTAGTATGTAGGGCACTATACAGGGGTCGGTAGTATGTAGGGCAGTGTACAGGGGTCGGTAGTATGTAGGGCAGTGTACAGGGATCGGTAATATGTAGGGCAGTGTACAGGGGTCGGTAGTATGTAGGGCAGTGTACAGGGGTCGGTAGTATGTAGGGCAGTGTACAGGGGTCGGTAGTATGTAGGGCAGTGTACAGGGGTCGGTAGTATGTAGGGCAGTGTACAGGGGTCGGTAGTATGTAGGGCAGTGTACAGGGGTCGGTAGTATGTAGGGCAGTGTACAGGGGTCGGTAGTATGTAGGGCAGTGTACAGGGGTCGGTAGTATGTAGGGCAGTGTACAGGGGTCAGTAGAATGTAGCGCAGTGTACCAGTGGTGTATTTTGGTTTTGTACTGCCCTAGGCAAGACTACAATTGGGTGCTCCCCCATCTAAATTTGTCCCACCCCTTCTTGTTTAAGATCCACCCCTTCATGTTCCACCACTGCACCCCCTCCTGAGCACCTTTTCCACCTCTGCACCCCCCTCCTGTTCCACCTCTGCACCCCCTTCTGAGCACCTGTTACACCACTGCACCCCCTTCCATACTACATACACACATACTGCATATATATATATATATATATATATATATATATATATATATATATATATATATATCACTTCACATACATACACACGTTGCATATACACATACTACATATACCACATACAGTGCCTAGAAAAAGTATTCATACTCCTTGAAATTTTCCACATTTTGTCATGTTACAACCAAAAACATAAATGTATTTTATTGGGTGATAGACCAACATAAAGTGGCACATAATTGTGAAGTAGAAGGAAAATGATAAATGGTTTTCCAAATTTTTACAAATAAGTATCTGAAAGCGAGTCAATACTTTGTAGAACCATCTTTAACTGCAATTACAGCTGCAAGACATTTTGGGGATGTCTCTACCAGCTTTGCACATCTAGAGAGTGAATGTTTTGCCCATCTCTTTGCAAAATAGCTCAAGCTCTGTCAGATTGGATGGAGAGCATCTGTGAACTGCAATTTTCAAGTCTTGCCACAGATTCTCAATTGGATTTAGGTCTGGACTTTGAGTGGGCCATTCTAACACATGAATATGCTTTGATCTAAATCATTCCATTGTAGCTTTGGCTGGATGTTTAGTGTCATTGTCCTGCTGGAAGGTGAACCTCCACCCCAGTCTCAAAGTCTTTTGCAGACTAACAGGTTTTGTTCTAGGATTGCCATGTATCTTCCCATCAACTCTGATCAGCTTCCCTGTCCCTGCTGAAGAAAAGCTTCCCCACAATATGATGCTGCCACCACCATGTTTCACGATGGGGATGGTGTGTTTCGGGGAGATATGCAGTGTTAGATTTCTGCCACGCGTAGCATTTTTGCTTTTTAGGCCAAAAAGTCCAATTTTCGTCTCATCTGACCAGAGCACCTTCTTCCACATGTTTGCTGTGTCCCCCACATGGCTTCTCGCAAACTGCAAATGGGACTTCTTATGGCTTTCTTTCAACAGTGGCTTTCTTCTTGCCACTCTTCCATAAAGGCCAGATTTGTAGAGTGTACGACTAATAGTTGTCCTGTGGAGAGATTCTCCCACCTGAGCTGTGGATCTCAGCAGCTCCTCCAGAGTTACCATGAACCTCTTGGCAGCTTCTCTGACTAATGCTCTCCTTGCCTGGCATGTCAGTTTAGGTGGACAGCCATGTTTTTGTAGATTTACAGTTGTGCCATACTCTTTCTATTTCGGATGATGGATTGAACAGTGCTCCGTGAGATGTTAAAAAACAGGGTTAGGTTATAAAAAAAATATCCCAAGCTTTGAACTTTTCCACAACTTTGTCCCTAACTTGTCTGGTGTGTTCCTTGGCCTTCATGATGCTGTTGTTCACTAATGTTCTCTAACAAACCTCTGAGAGCTTTGCAGAACAGCTATATTTATACTGAAATTAAATTACACATAGGTGGACTCTATTTACTAATTAGGTGACTTCTGAAGGCAATCGGTTCCACTAGATTTTAGTTAGGGGTATCAGAGTAAAGGGGGCTGAATACAAATGCATGCCACACTTTTTAGATTTTTATTTGTAAAAAATTTGGAAAACCATTTATCATTTTCCTTCCACTTCACAATTATGTGCCACTTTGTGTTGGTCTATCACATAAAATACATTTACATTTTTGGTTGTAACATGACAAAATGTGGAAACTTTCAAGAGGTATAAATACTTTTTCAAGACACTGTACATACACTCATACTACATATACTACATATACTACATACGTCCCACCACCACAGCACTTACCTTCATTGCTCACGCTGCACTAGCTAAAAGAAGGAGGGGCTGAACGCGATTATGTGTGAGGCTGGCCGCACCCCCTCCCACCCACTGCAAAGCCTCACAGGGAGTCCTGAATCAGAGCGTCTGGACAGAGCTGCTGGGGGAGGAGGGAGGAGGAATGATCTGTCCTTACATCTCTGTTCTCCCCACCCGGAAGCACAACAATGTATTCCCCTGCATGCCGTCACCTGAGCCAAAAAAATTGGCCTTGGCATATTAGACTGAGCAGCCAATTTTTTTTAAAAAACATAATGATGGTTTCTCAATGTCTTATTGTTATATTTAGCCTGTTTCAGTCACTAATTGATTGCGGTCACCGCTCAGTGATTGTTAGAGGTCACTGCACATCACTACCACTCACCCATTGGTTGCTGGGCTGGAGGGGGGTCATCAGTGGCAGTGGTGGGGATGGAATTCTTGGCAGTGCTGGGGGGGGGGTGGAATTTGTGGCAGCGCTGGGAGGAGCATGGAATTAGTGACAGTGCTATGGGGGGGGATTAGTGGCAGTGCTGGGAGGGGGGGTGGAATTAGTGGCAGTGCTGGGGAGGGTGGAATTAGTAGCAATGCTGGGGGGGGATGGAATTTGTGGCAGTGCTGGGAGGAGCATGGAATTAGTGACAGTCCTAGGGGGTATTAGTGGCAGTGTTGTGGGGAGGGTGGAATTAATGACAGTGCTTGGGGGGAGGGGGGTGGATCAGTGGCAGTGCTAGGGAGGGGGTGAAATTGGTGGCAGTGCTGGGGGGATGGGATGAGTGTCAGGTAGCTTCTCCATTAGGCTTTATGAAGAACAGGTCAGGAAAGCACTGTACATTACCCATTGGCTCAGTGGAAATTAGGTCATATGCTGATCTGAGGACTATAGTAGGGACTATTGATGGCAACTAATATCACTGACAATGGTACACACTTTGTTTCCAGCTCCTTGGTGTCTGCAGCATTGACACCTATGCCAAGATCATGAAATGGGGTCTCCTCCAGCTCCTCCCCTTCACGATCATCACAGGTCAACTGACCTCTAGTTTCCCCCCCCCTCCGACCATGATATGAACTTAATGAGAGGCTGCAGAGAGGCAGCTGACCCCCAATGTGGTCACTGGTCAGCTGACCTCCAATCTCTGCCCCCCCACCATGCTGTTTAGTGAATGGGTGGCTGCAGAGAGGCTGATTATGGGTCAGCTGACCTCTAGTCTCTGCCCCCTAACCATGCTGTAAAGTGAATAGGCAGCCGTGGAGAAGCTGGGCAGGAGGTGCAGGCTTATAGGCAGCCCAGCTGCCACAACTATCCAGGAATATTTTTCAATGTTCAGGACAGAGCCCGGGATGAAGATCGCCCATGACAGGGCTTTAAAATCCAGGACTATTCCAGGCAATCCGTG